TGGGTTTATGTTTGTGTCATACTTGGATTTGATGTTAGAAGGTGTCTAGGTTTGCAAAAAGTGAAAGGAAAGGAAGAGGAAGAAGAAAGGAAAAATTGAAAAACAAAGAGAGCCAAAAATGGTGGTTCGATTCTGAACCCAATAGGTGCTGGGTTTTTGTGGGTTTGAAAAAGTGGTGATGAAAGTGGATTCGGAGGAAAAATATTGATGAATTGATTGTTTGATTTAGAAAAATAATGATAAAAGTGGACTTGGAGAAGGCAAAGAGAGAGAAAAAGAAGAATTGATGAAGAAGATTTGAGAAAGAGGATGCTAGAGGAAGAAGATAAGGGTAAAATTGTAATTTTAGATGAATTAAATAATTATATTTAGACACATCATTTATTTATCCATGTTGTTAAGCTGACATGTCAAAATATTTTGACATGTCATCGAGTTTCCGTGAGTTAATAGGACATGTGGGTGGATTTTTAATGGAAGGACTAAATCATTGTTAAAATGATAAATAGTAAAAATTAAATCAAAGATTTTTTAAGTTGAGGGATTAAATCATAGGTTCATATAATAGTTGAGGGGATCAAAATGAAAATTTAACTTTAAAAATAAGATGTGTTAAATTTAAATTATATTATATATAAAAATTAAAAAACTATTATAAATTATGTTATTTTAATGAAATATTATAAAAATAATAAAAAAAATTTTAATTTATGTTTTAAAAATAAGATTTTAATTTTTTAAATAAAAATTTATTAAAATAATATAATTTTAAGAGATTAATAAGTATTAATTTATATTTAAAAAATTAATTAAAAAACTATTATAAATTATGTTATTTTAATGAAATATTATAAAAAATTAAAATATTTTTATTTTTATTTTAAAAATAATTAACATATTTTAATATTTTTTAATAAAATTTTGTTAAAACAATATAATTTTTTTAATAAAATTTTATTAAAATATCTTTAATGAAATATTATAAAAATAATAATAAAAGATTTTAAT